AATGTAAAGAGTTTAAATGATAGTGTTTGATTTTGACCTGCAAGGGACAGTGGCTTTTCATAACATGCAAAGACTAGAAAAGAGAGTGTTTGTCTTTGACGTGTAAAGAGTGGAACCGAGAGTGCTGACTTTGACATGTTAAGAGTGGAAAAAATATGTACTTTCCATATATAATTAGTGGAAAGAAAAATGTTTTCGTCTGACACTTAAATCGTGGAAAGTGACTTGTTTGATTTTTTTTGTATATGTAAAGAGTGGAAAGGAGGGTATTGGTTTTCATATGTAAAGAGTGGAAAGGAGGGTATCGGTTTTCATATGTAAAGAGTGGAAAGGAGGGTATTGGTTTTCATATGTAAAGAGTGGAAAGGAGGGTATTTGTTTTCATATGTAAATGGTGGAAGGAAGGATGTCGCATTTCACATTTAAAGAGTGGAAAGAAAAGTGTGTGCATGGATCACAGAAGGCATATCTCAATCGATTTAATAGCATTTTATGTTCTACAACCACAATCCATTTAGTTTATTTTCATTATTTTTGCATGGCTCGCATCCCGACTCTTCTATAACTTAAGCATTTGGTTTCTTCCAGTAAAAACAATAAATACACTAATTTTTATTACTTACCTATATTTCGTTTCAATTATTAGCAATAGCATGAAGAGAAATAAGGAACTTAATGCTATTCCAGGGCTGGTTTGGGTAGTTAATAAACAAATATCTACTGTTGTCCTTCCAAAAAACAGATTAATATTATCAAACACTCCAGAACTGCGAAAGAAGTTTAAATAATTAAAAAAGAACTTGTGGTCACACTTATTAAAAGTTGAAGCCATTTTACTCTCAAAACCATATGCATTGAAAATTTTTTGGTTAACTACTTTTATACTTTCTAAAACGTTCGATCTTCTTGTTGTGTTGAAATTTCTCGGCTTGGTAGTGAAGGTTGCAGAACATTAAAAGTTTGTAAACAAGATCGAGTATTTTAGTTAAATTTCAGCACAATTACCTGGAAAATATCAGCTAGACAACGCATTTCCGTGCGGAAAACCTTTCCTAAACTCAAACCCAACTAAAAATGTTGAAAAAAAACAACACTAGTCATGTAGGTCCAAACGCCTAATCTCTATTAACGACAAAGGTCAATCACACAATATAAATTAAATATATATACAATTAGTATTGTTGTCGGATACCTATCCTCAACTTTGTTGTGGTGGGTTACTTGGTTTTGGTTAGTATCATCTAGAGGTGATTGCCGACGGTGTAATTTGCTTGGAATTAGTAAATGTCAATATAAAATATGAACCTATATGTGGAATAAATAAAGATTTGAGCAGATATATAGAACAGAAAAACACGAGCCCTGTGACAAATAAAGATAAAATTTAATCAAAATTCATAACAATAAAATTCATAAACAATTGTGATAAGAGTTACAATTTCAAAAATACACATCTTTCTTTTGAATCAAAGGAATTTCAGATACAAATAAGATTATACCGATAGCCGATATGTTCAGCAATATAATTAAATCGTCATTTAATTGAGTGAAAGATTGAATAATACTGCCTAGTATCGATTCATAACCTGATGTATCGACTCAGTCCCAATCCACACCGACTGTTCCTCGTGACTTCCTTGTGCCAGTAGGCCTGGGTCTTCTCCATTTTTCCCTTCCTTTTCCAAATTTTCCGGTATTTCGCATCTTTTGGCCCCTAAAACTTTTTGTAGTCCTTTTGGGTTTGTAAATCGTTAGACTTTCCGTAGCTATCTCATCTTGCTTGTATTTTAAAACTTTTGTGTCTGTCAATTTCTCCAGACAATCTTCTCGCCTGGATGATTTTACGAGTGAATTTTCTTTTCAAATTACGTCCTTACGTTCGTTTACTCTTGCAGAAAAAAGTAGACTAATTTCCAATTGTACTATTGTCACCTTTAAACTTAATGTTTTCGTGTGAAACCACGCCCCTTTTCACAGTGTGTCCAATGTGGATGAAATAAACTTCCCGACTGAAATCAAACACTGTAGTTCGTCTAACAACATCGGTTACCTAACCGATTCCTGGTAACCTTCAGAAATGACAGTTTTCCATGCAGATTAGAATTGACCCCTATCTTTTGCAGTTTAAACAAACGTAGCCTTATCATTAATCGCTAACTCATGACAGAACCTGTACCAATCAGTGCATTATGACAATTTTCCATAAATCTAATTAATCATACACATGCCCATCTAAAGATTTTCTACTGATATCGACAGAAACATTTGCTCCATTACAATTATAAATACATTAATTCTATTATAATCTGTTTATAACACATACATACTCATGTAATCTCAAGCGTATTCATTCAATATTTTGCTGCTGTCCTCTAAAATCTGGCTTAGCGGTTAAGTTAAATGTTTCATTTGCCTTTTAAAAATGTTCTTAACTACCACATGTTTTCGTCGGTTTAGTTCCAAATGACAAATATAAGTGTTGTTGATGATTACAATACATTGTGCAGACGGATGCGATTAACTAATAGAAATACAGTGAACATAAACTTCGATATGGAGATTGAGGAAAAGGAAAACATGACTAGGAAAAATACAAAGTATACAAATAAACAAAATGTTGAATGGCATATAAAACAAATGATACATGCAATATGAGAAGATATTCTGTGTAAATGTGGAAGATGGGTAAAAATTCATTCCATGAAAAAATATTTCAAATTATAACAAAAATACAGCCGTAAACTAATACCTCAAACATGTGTGAAAACATATCTTCACTGCTAAAGTTTGAAGAATTCTATCCCAAACAAACTGAAGCAATATCCACTATGTATCTGATGGATTTACTGGTTAGGAATAACAGTTTAAATTTTGAAAATTTCTAACGTATACAAGCTGAAACAGTTTACACTAACTGAACTGCTTACTTCTGAAGTAAATGAAAACCGTGATAAGAAACCAAACGGTGCTGAGGATGTTAAACAACGAAGGCGTGATGAGTTCTCACTGCGACAAGACCATGATGAGCTGCTTTGGTCATGCTATTAGGAGATAAACCTACATATGGATTTTGATGGGATGATTTACAGCTGATGAACCTGAAACTCAATAGATCAAAGCACAAAGAAAGCAAGAAGAATCCAAATGTCGAATACTATAACCTCAAAAAGAATCGAAAATGCACACCCCAAACAAAATAATAAAAAATAAAAAATAAATAAAGCATTTAGTATTGACTTACAGTATATAAAGTTGTAAAAACACAAATTATATCGAAATAAAATTATGATTTAAAAGATGGGGATTACTTATTCCCAGAAATCTATTAACATAAAGTTTGCTTTAGCAATGTACAAAATCTATACCAATTTTCCACGGCCGTGTTTGAAAACAAATTTGAAACAATAAATAAATATTTTGATGAGATGAAAGGAAATCATTTCACAATTAATTCATAATTTGTTATACCATTTCAAGCATGGCAAATCGTGAAGTGTACTAATATTTCCTCGATAACATTATTGGTTCAAATTTTAAAAGGTAAAACAGTAATGGAAATAGCTGAATACAACACATGTACACCTGATATACATATATAAAACATATGATGGCTTATAACACTTCATTCCATTAATATACATGTAATATGTTAAATAAATGGGGCAAAATAGATGGGAATAATTAAATTATGTGACCAAAACGAGGATGAACAGGCAATGTTAGATGGTTATTTGTGATTTGCTGTCTTGTTAAATACTGTGCTATGTAAGTCAGTATACAACATTAGTATACAACAGTACTCAGCGAATAAGAAAAGACATAAGATAGATTGATCGAGAGTACGTAGATTCAAACAGGTCGCTATTAGATATATGAAATTCTTTTATCAGTTTATCATTCTGTCTTTTTTCTAAACACATTTTCAGATGATCGCTTTTGTCTTGATCATTTGGTTCATTTATTTAGGTGATTCAGTATGGTAATTGTACGGAAAATGGGAACCAGCCTGTACATGGGTGAACATAAAATTGAGTATACATGGGTTTGGGTGGCTAGGATTGGTTGAAAACAAAAGTTATTTTTTAGAACATAGAATCTTTGGAGAGTTTAACATAGTTGTAACTTATAAAAATCGAGACATTTTTATTTTTTTTACGGAATTTCAGTTGTTTAAGTCTTGGGTTTGGAACACTCATTACTGAACAATTAAGGTTTGATCATGAACACTCAGAAATTTAAAGTTACTGAATTTTTAATACCGTGTGTTTGCATAGGTTTATTATGGGGGAATGAATTAGTAGCCTACCGTGAGTCCGTCAGTCATGTATGCAGTGCAGTGGTAACTACGTACCCTTATCTTTTTTGCACTCGCCATTGTCCCCCACTCCCGCATCTGAGTACCATGCGTCCCCTGAATTCTTTATTTAGCACTACATCACTGGATTCAGTATACTGTATTTCGCCAATGTAACCTCGAACCAACTGCGAACGACATCAACCAAAAACTGTCGTTGAATAACGCACAGGAAGATCTGATTCTGTGATATTCACTCATGGGCGGGTTATACTTGAGCAATTATGGAATTAATTAGCATGAGCAAGTTATTCATACCCCAGTATATGCTATTTTATCTTTTTTTTTTTAAATTAGACTCTCCATGTGTACCGATTGTTTACTTTTGGTCGTGCAGGTATATAGTGAAAACACGTCACCATCAAGCAGGTCCCCCCACCCGTCAGGTTCATATATATTCATTCTAGACCAAGCAGTGTGTGTGTGTGTGTGTGTGTGTGTGTGTGTGTGTGTGTGTGTGTGTGTGTGTTGGATTTTTAACGTAGCTTTAAAAAATTTCAGCCACATCGCTATGACGTCTGCAGTGTGACAAGTTAATCGTCATTACTAACACTCTGACACCAGGCCAACCAGCCCTAACACTAAACTGTTAATTCTGGACCTCAAGCGAGGCAGCTTCTAGTACCATTGTTATAAGTCTTTGGTATGATTCGACCGGGTTTCGATCCCGCGATTTCCAGCATCCGAGGCGGACGCTTTAACCACTAGGCCACCGGAGCAGTCTACACTAACCATTTGAATCACTCATTTAAAGTGTCAGTATTGCGCAACAGGTATGAACTCTGATTAAAGGATACTTTTAAGGACGTTGATTTGAAGGATACATTTAAGGACATTGATTTGAAGGATACATTTAAGGACATTGATTTGAAGGATGCATTTAAGGACATTGATTTGAAAGATATATTCAAGGATATTTTCTTCAGTTTCATAACGAATTTTTTTTCATATTTTCCCAACGAACAGAATGTTAAATTTGAAAAAAGTGACAAATTTAAGAACATACAGTATCTTAAAAGGTTATTAAGGAGTATTGAAAGATATCCCGGAAACTCTTATCATTTATTAGCTGTAAAAATACTTGAGGTTTACCCGTATCTATTCAACACAACAATGACTTATTGAATCTTATCAGACTTTTGCACCAGTTGTAGCTCAAGGATGGCTTGTGTTTTGTTTTATTTTAAATAAACAGCGAAGATAAAATCACGGAACTGTTGCGAAAATTCTTTAAAAATCATCAGACTTCACCTATAGGTAACTTTTTAAAAAAAATCTGGTAACGTCCTTCTTCTTTTGTATTTTACTTATCAGTGTCACATTTAGACCTTTACATTATTTTCAAAGTCATCCCTCCCAATTTAAATGGTGTTTGATCTGATGTTTTGTGCCACTCAACTTTGTACCTCACATATCCTTCCGTCCGCGTGTCCGGACCTATCTTTTTTTTCAAACAGTTCACTTTGCTGTTAATTTTGATGTCAAATACAAAGACTAACAATATGCTGCCTTAAGGAGCAACAGTCTTCTAAGGAGTGTTAAAAGAAAGGATGTTGCTTGTCTTCAGTCTTAAAATTTCTATCCTTTTAAAAATAATTGGAAATAAATATGGTAGGCGGTCCAGCAAACTAAGGGGGTAAAGGTCATTATCTATTTCAAACTTCCATGTGGTGTCGTAGGCCCCAGATACCTTGGTTGAATAGATCAATTCTCTATGCCGTATTTCCATGTGATGCCATAGGACCACTAAGACCTTGGTTGAATAGATTAGTCACTATGCCGTACTTCCATGTGGTGCCATAGGCCCACTAAGATCTAGGTTGAATAGGTCTTTCTTCATGCCGTACTTCCATGTGGTGTCATATACACACTAAGAACTAGTCTGAGTCGGTCATTCTTCATGCCGTACTTTCATGTGGTGTCATAGACCCACTAAGATCTAGGTTGAATAGGTCATTCGTTACGCCGTACTTCCATGTGGTGTCATAGACCTACTAAGATCTAGGTTGAATAGGTCATTCGTTACGCCGTACTTCCATGTGGTGTCATAGACACACTAAGAACTAGGCTGAATCGGTCATTCTTCATGCCGTACTTTCAGGTGGTGTCATAGACCCACTAAGATCTAGGTTGAATAGGTCATTCGTTACGCTGTACTTCCATGTGGTGCCATAGACCCCAAACATCTGGGTTGATGAGGTCAATCGTTATTCCTTTGTTCCATGTGATGTCATAAACTTTTATAAAAGGCGAAATATGCGGCAACAACTTATTCTTTCTTTAGAAATACGTGCTTTAAGTCAGACAACACGATTTATCATGCTTCTCTGGAGTCTGAATCTGCACTGAACAGTTGATAGCAGTTTGCGGGGTTCTAGATATTCGAGTAGTCTTTCATTTATCATCCGTTCCATTATGTTGCTAATACGGCTTCTTCTTGATATGTGAAGACACCTGGAAGTGTCGGGAAGGTCCTTCCATATTTAGATTCGCCAAGACTGCGGGAGATAGTTTCGCAAAAATTGTAATGACAACGTTCAGCTGAATGTATTTCAAAAGTTGATAGTGGATATCATGTGGTTTTGCTGGAGTGTCAATTGCTCGATCAAGAGAATATTTTTTGTGTGTGTGTATGTGTGTGTGTGTTTCGAAATTTTAACATAGTTTGAACGATTTTTCAGGCATATCGCTACAACGTCTGCCGTGTGGTAGTTTATATTGATGACTTGCACTGGGCCATCATGCCGCAGACATGTAGCACGATATCCTACCCAGACACATTTTCCTGACACCAGACTGAGTAGCCCTTTCACTAACTGTTAATACGGAACGATAAGCGAGGCAGATGCTAGTACTATTTTTTTATAAGTCTTTGGTATGACTTGACCGGGGTTCGAACCCACCACCTCCCACTTCTGAGGCGGACGCTCAAACCACTAGGTCAGTGGAGCGGTCTGATATTCTAGGAGTGAAATGTATAAAAGGGGACTGTGAGGAAGTTTATGGTCATACATAATCTTGTAATGAAATCATGCGATATCATCAAATATGTTGCCTACGCTATATATCTGTTTTCATTTTGAAAAACTTGGGATCGTCTCCCCCTTCCCATTTTGATTTTAGTAATTCATTATTTTAAAATGTGGGTCTGACAGGATGTACACTTGCTGTTCCTTTAACCATTAACTGAATGCAGTTCACTAGATAAAAATTATATTTACGTTGCAGATATTAGGTCTAAACATCTGGTATGGCCTTTCCTTTCTAATTACCTCATTCTAGACGAGATTAAGTTACTACCATGGAATTTCTTGTAGAGGAAGTAGCAGCTGCATTGTGGTTCAAGATGTTGCTTCATATGCACATATTTTGAAAGTAGCTGTGAAATTTAGAGAAAGACCGACACGCGGTCAGATAAAAAGCGTAACTTTACATGCATAAGTACATACATACATACATACATACATACATACATACATACATACATACATACATACATACATACATACATACATACATACATACATACATACATACATACATACATACATACACACATACATACATACATACATACATACGCGCGCACGCACGCACGCACGCACATACATACATACATACATACATACATACATACATACATACATACATACATACATACATACATACATACATACATACATACATACATACATACATACATACAATACAGACAGACAGACAGACATGCATACATTGTGTAATAAAGTTCTACCTCAAGAGTGTATTAGCATTAATTAAATTTAACGTTTCGAAAGCTGATATTCCATATGCGAACTTCTGTTAATAATGATATCATAGACTTTCAACAATATTCTGAAATACCTCATCTTAACGATTAAATACGCTGACATTGATTAAATTATACTTTTTATCATGTCTATGTTAAGTGTAGTCTGTACTGAAAAACCTTTATAACAATGCAGTAATCAATACACTGACACAATGACGTGGAGGGGCATACAATACTATTGCACTGCATATTCCGAAAGCATTGAACATTTCGTCACACTTTTAATCGAACCTAGTGCATGCGCAATTATGAAAATTATTGATTAGCTTTAAGTATTTTTATTGTTTTGTTTTGGGTGGAGGGTGCCCATCCTTCATGATATTATTGGATGTTACAAAAGTACACAGACATCAGGTAACGAGCTGAATACACATGCTTGAATATATCAAAATTATCAAATTAAAGTACAGTCATACAGGTCATATGGGCGTACCGTGCAAGTTAAACAGGTTATGTAGGTGTACCGAACAAGTCATACAGGTCATGTTGATGTACAGTAACGACTATTTCATTTCTATATAACATTTATGAGAATTTGGTTATAACACTTTTTAAATAGTTATTATTCATTTTTTTCGCTGCTTATCTATCAATATTCCTTGTAAGATCATTTATATAATCGCTCCAGGAAACACATGAAACCAAATTAGTGTGAAGGTACGTGCATATGTTTAGATGCGGCAAAGTAATATATGTAAATCATTGTCAATCGGAGTATCCACGTCCTTTTCCGACAAATCAACAAAGAAATCCAGGATGTGATTCATCGCCATGGAGAACTATACTCTAAACTACTTTCATTCATATGGAATAATACAGCATCGAAAGGAGACAAAGTCACAATAGGTACAATTTCAGCCTTAGTTATTTTAACATATATGCTGAACTCCGCCAGAGGCGAATCACCCAGCACACGAAATGTATAGCCCCAACATGAGCCGAAAAATGGCGTTAAACCAAAAACAATAACAAACATGTTGGTAGTGACAGTTAAAGTTTCTACCAAATTCCACAGGTATGACGTCCACATGAAGATATACAAAACACGAATACTTACGTAACTGGTTAAATTTATTTTTTATAGCCAGTAAGGATTTGAAATGTATGGCTGAAGTAGCTATTAAGTCTTTTGCAAGGGCTCTGATGCTTGCAGTTAGGTCCATATGGCATGCGGGTCTTTTCCAGGAGACACAAAGAGTCAAAATAGACAAGATCCGTGCACAGTAAGTATGGGAAGACAGAAGTAGCAAGTCTTCCCGGTGAAAACATTGGTATGAGTGACACGAACATTATCGGGGAGAATCATTTGCCTTTTTATTGAAAGAGGTTAGAAGATTTGCTAACATTAGATGAAAGAAGTAGATGACTTTTCAATTGCAACAGTGGGATTTCTTGCTTTAGTTTGTGCTTAGATTAAAACACGTAAACGTCATTGGTGGTTCAAGCGCCGTAATTTAACATATGCTGTAACACTATTTCAATATCATTCCTAATCATATTATTTATCCCTGCCCTACAGGATTGTATAGATTGTATAGAGCCTGATCAGGAGGGAGTTTCCATGGTCTCCAGATACCCCTTCCCCAGGCTAGAAAGGAAATATACACACTCATACATATTCACATAAGTACAGTCAAGTTTCAGTTGAAAGTTGACCAGTTTTAATCTGCGAACTTGTATATTATACACACTTTAAGTAAATATAGAAACTTTTGCTTTGATGCCCTTTCGAGGAAAGTTAGTTCGTTTGAAATTCTTGAACCACCCCACCTTCTTTCCCCAACACTTAACCTCATCCAGCCCTGCTGTATATTTCCTAAGATTTTATTGAGATGTTTCTCGCGTCTGCGCCTTAGGGAGGGGCATAGGACAAGAAAGTATTTTCGG